GCTGCCACACGACAGGACGAGGCGATCTTACAGGCATTTATCATGATTAGCAATTCCATCAGATGATCATTGATCTCGCCACAAGCACTCTGAATTATATACACATCTTCACCACGTACACTTTCGCCAATCTCCACATTTGTTTCCTGAAAACACAAAAATACATAAATGAAAAAGGCAGAGATTCACTCATTTTCAATGAACAAAGGAAACTGAGAAAGTATCAAACGAATAATAGAAAGTTCCACATCTTCATCTTCCTCCGGTAATCAACATGTTCTTTTTAACATGGTGGAATGGGGCGCTGTACTGATGATTCCCATCCCATTTCGCACCGATTCTACCGTCTGTGTTTACAGCCCTGGGATTATTGAAGGTCCAGACAGTGTATCATCTCCTCCAAGCGATACATGTCTGCCCTCGTAATTAAGAAAAAAGCTTCAAGGAAGATCCTAAGTACCAGAAAATATCAAAAAAAATCACAAAATGAGATATCACATACGTTGGAATATAATTTATTAGAAAAACATTTAATAATAAAAAGCAGATTTACTTTATTGCTGAATTTCTTAAGCGACGCTTTCGCGACATCAAGCTGCAGGCGTTCACAGATTCGTTCCGTCAAGTCTCGATGAGATGATCCGGAAAAAACCTGAAAAAAAAAAATTTTATCATTTTCGAAGGGAAAAAAATTACTGGAAACCAAACAGTGACAAACGAAATCCTTGTATTTCCTGGCCAAAACTATGTCCAGCACCGATTCCCAGTTAAAAATGCATCAAAATTACTGCGTAATCTATTCCTAGCTCAAAAAAAAAAAATAAAAAATAAAAAATTTGTCGGATGAAAAAAAAAAAAGAAATTTTGTATATTCAAAGTGAAACGGACAACTGCTTCCATTACCAACACACACTGTTTTAAAGCTACAGATGGTTTTTTTTTTGTAGAAGTATCCGTGAAAAATCAGCAAAAACAGGGGAATTACTGCGCCCTAAAGGATGCGGATGCAACCGAAATATACTGCGTTTATCTTCATCTTATGTTATATTTCGCAAAATGAGTCAAAATCAGTGGATTTTGAGGTATCATAAACGAGACTCATTCGATCAAAAGCGAGATCGCTCATCCCTTCTTGTGAATAATCGAAAAAATTGACCGGAATGCAGGATATTTAAAAAAAATCGCAAAAAAGCCCCTCTCCCCCGCTTGGATATGTGGTAGAATGCAGATGCAACCGAAATATACTGCGATTATCTTTGGCTTATACTATATTTCGCAAAATGAGTCAAAACCAGTGAGTTTCTGAGGTATCATAAACGACACTCATTCGACCAAAAGCGAGAAGACGCATCCTCTCTTGTAAATAATCGAAAAGGCAGACCGAAATGCAGGATATTCTAAAAAAATCGCAAAAAAAGCCCCCCCCCCCCACTTCTGTGGATTTGTGGTAATGGTACCTTAACATTAGGCATGCTGCGCAGCTGCTGCTCTTCGCCACTGATACTCTGTCCGCTTTCTTCCCCAATGATTCCA